TGGAGGGCAGTCGGGAAGGCCGCGGCCCAGGGCGGGGCTGCGGGGCGTGCTCCTGGGGCACCTCCGAACGCACGTCGGAGGTGCCGGCTAGGGAGGCTCGCCCCGCCCTTCGACGTCCTCCCTCTGCCCCTCGACGGCCTCCCTCCCCTTCCTCTTCCTCCTCCTCCTCCTCCTCCTCCTCCCCTCCTCCCTCCTCCTCCTCACTCCTCCTCCCTCCTGCTGCTCCTCCTCCTCCCCGTCCTCCTCCTCATTCTCCTCCTGCTGCTGCTGCTCCTTCTCCCTCCTCCTCCCTCCTGCCCCTCCTCCCTCCCTCCCCTCCCCCCTCCCTCCTCCCCTCATCCCTCATCCCCCTCCCCTCTCCCACCTCCCACCTCCCTCCTCCCTCCTCCTCCTCCTTCCTCCTCCTCCTCCTCCTCCTCCTCCTCCTTCTCCCTCCTCATCTTCATCCTTCCCTCCTTCTCCTGCTTCTCTCTTCCTTCTCCTCCTCCTCTCTCCCTCCTCCACCTCCTCCTCCTCCTTCTCCACCTGCTGCTGCTGCTCCTCCTCCTCCTCCTCCTCCTCCTCCTCCTCCTCCTCCTCCCTCTCCTTGCCCACTGGCGCGGCTGCCATTAGTTCCGCGGAGGGGCAGGAGTCCCATGCAGTTGAAGCCCATACCAAGAAGCACGCTGCTTGCCTCCAGGGTGCCCTGGGTTTCTTGGGTTTCGACGGCTCTGCTGCAGTACGCGTGGCGTGCCCACACCAGACAGCAATGGACGCCCTGGGGCCTCGGGGTTGAGCTTCTTGTGGAAGGTTGCCTGTGGTCGAGCTTTGGCTTTGCTGCCCCATCTGCTGTCCTCACTGCGCGGTCCCAGACATCCGTCGACATGTTGTTTTTCAACCCGCGGCCCCAGAGGTCCCGTCCCCCTTCCCCTGGGGCGGTTGTCCGTCCCGGATCCGTAGTTGATGGCCCCCGGGCCCGAGAGAGCGGGCCTCGGAGGCCGCAATCCCGGAAGCACCGCCGGGCTGAACACATCTCGTCCTCGGATCTCGGGGGTGCTGCCGTCTCCTCCCCTGCCTTGCTGCATGCTCGCTGGCGCCCCCCCCCCGCCCCCTGGCGCGCCGCGCCCCCCGGCGGCTCCGGCCGCCGAGCTCCCCCGCCCGAAGCTCGGCGGCGCTCGCCGCCCGGCCCGCCGCGGCTCCGCCCCCAGGGCTGCCCCGCCGTCGGCCGCCCTTGCGGCGGCAGCCGCCGTCGGGCGTGTCGTTCGCCGTGGGGAAGCGATCGCCGTGTGGCACTCCAGATTTCGTAATAAAGGGAGGGGGGTCTCATTTCGGGGGGGGTCTCTTCCAGGCTATCTTGGAGGGCCTGGGGGGTCTGGGGACGATGTTTTGGAGGGTTCTCCCACGGGGGAGGTCTGAAATGGCTTGTCTTGGAGGGTCCAGACCCCCTCCCTTTTATTACGAAATCTGGAGTATTTGTATGATCATGTCTTGCTTATTTTAGATGTTTCGTCCAAAATCTGCGGGCAACACTTCTGTCCATATGCACTGCAGTGTGGAGTTTCGGGCTCCCTTCCCCAGAAACCCGAGGCACACTGTATATGGATAAATTTGCCCACCGTAGAGGCTAGGTTTTTATCCATATCCAGTGCGCCTCGGCCTTGAGGCGCTTCTTCCAACACATTCAAGACGCACTGGATATGGATAGAAGTCTTGCCCTCAAAATCCCCCTGTAGGGGGACACGCCCGACCTAGTCGAAGCTCGAAGAGGCTCTTGGACGTGTCGCGCCGCCTTGGAACAGGCCCTGGAGTGTTCGTAGGGCGTTTTCTGGGGGAGGGGCCGCTTCCTCGAGGATGTGGCGACCCCGCTTACTTCGGAGGTTGATAGGCCTCCTACCCTGGCACGTCGATTAGCGAATTCGCCGTTTTCGGTTCGCGAGAGAGTGTCGCGGCTGTCTTTTTTTGCGGGTCCAGGTCCGTCGGTTTCGGCCCCAGGCCGTTTTCACGAAAGGGAGGTCTGTCCACCTCCGAAGCGGATCCTGAGGGACAAAGATGCTCGTAGGACAGGAAAGGTAAGACAGCAAACAACTGCTGTTCGGTCCTGATGTTTCTCGCCATGCTCGGGGTCTCGGGGCCCCTCCACACGGGCCCCGGGACTGTCAGAGAGTGCCTCGGGACGAAGAGCTGGTCTCGGGGGGGAGGCCCCAGGTTCTGGGACCCGTTTCCCTCGGGACCCGATCTCCGCGGTGTCAAAAACCACCGCCGAAGTCGGCGCGACACGAACTCACCGTAGCGCTGCAAGCTTGGCTCGCATCGGTTCTCGTCTCGTTCTGAATGTTTCATCTGTGCATCCTCTGGCGCGTCACAGTCGTTACCGCCCCCCCCCCGCACCCCCCGGGCAACGGCAACGACAGTAACGAGAATGGGTAGGGTTGGCGGGGGCTTACCCCCCCTCCCCTGGCATCTCTCGGACGTGTGCATTTTTTCTCGGCGAGGACCATCGAGGAGCATCCTTGATCATTTGGCGAAAAACCACGCACGAAACCGAAAAAAACACAGGGAATGGACGTCCGAGCGATGGCGAGCTTACCCCCCCTCCCCCACACGCTGCGATCGCGCGCACATGCTATGGCGATCGCAGCGCACCCTCGCCCTGAGGCGCCCGAGCCAACCCGAGCGTTACCATTACCCTGCCCTCACACCCCTCCCCGGGTAGCGAGCATGCTCCTCCTCCTCCTCCTCCTCCTCCTCCTCCTCCTCCTCCTCCTCCTCCTCCTCCTCCTCCTCCTCCTCCTCCCCCTCGCCTCCTCGTCCTCCTCGTCCTCTTCCTCTTCCTCCTCCTCCGCCTCCTCCTCCTCCTCCTCCTCCTCCTCCTCCTCCTCCTCCTCCTCCTCCTCCTCACAGCACAGCAGAATGAGCCCGAGCAGTTCGTGAGGCAAGCGCGTCGCAGCACTCGTTGCAGCAGACATCACTAGCGACGTGATTATCCAGAATCAGGAGAGGAAAAACACACAGACACAATCCATCGTCGATCCCCAGGAACATATGGAAAAGATGGGAAGTGGTGGGGAAGACAAAAATACAGAAAATATAGGAAAATATAAGGGATCCTGTTATTTGACTGTATTTATGTGTGTGTGTGTCCCAGGGCCTCTTCACAGAAGACGGCCAGAGCCAACGTGCCCTCCTGCTCCTCCCTGCTGCGATGCCGCAATGCCCCTGGCTGCAGACGTCGGCCACGCGCAGAAGGGGGGCACGGGGAGTGCTTCTCGGGAGCGCCGCTGCTCCTGAGTGGGCGCCGGGCCTGTCTGAAGATGCAGGACCGGCGCCCTCTGGGGAAGAGAGGCAGGCTCCTCCTGAGCGGCCGTCCCCTCTCCTCCTCCTCCTCCTCCTCCTCCTCCTCCTCCTCCTCCTCCTCCTCCTCCTCCTCCTCCTCCTCCCTCCTCCTCCTCCTCCTCCTCCTCCTCCTCCTCCTCCTCCTCCTCCCCCGTCCCCCCCCCGTGGTGCGCGCCGCCGCAGACGTTCCTGGAAGCCCGACGTCGCCCTCTGGACGGCGCCCGCAGTGGAAAAAACGCTCTGGCCCCACGGCGCGGGCGTCCGCGCAGGCATGCTGCCAGGCGCAGGGCCCCACGGTGAAAACGCCCTGCTTTCTCGACGCGGTGTCCCGCGCCAGCGGAGTGACTCGTCGTCGTCGTCGTCGTCGTCGTCGTCGTCGTCGTCGTCGTCGTCGTCGTCGTCGTCGTAGTCGTCGTATAACGCCGCTGCGGAAGGCCGCCGAGCCGTCGATCTCTGGCACCCCCCTCGCGCCGTGGAAGGAAGCACGGCGGGGGGGCTCTGGACAATGCCGGGTCGCGGGGGGCCCCCGCCGGACCCCGGGGCCGCCGAGACGGGGCCCGGGATGAAGCACGAGCCCCAGGGAAGTGATCGTGTTCTTCTTCATGTTTTTGCCGATCGGCGTGGACCCTCGCATGATGGGCCTGCTTTCCACCACCACGACCACCGCCACCACCACCAACAGTTGGAGGGGGGAAGGAGGTGGAGGAGGAAGAGGAGGGGGAGGAGGAGGAGCAGGAGGAGGAGGAGGAGGAGGAGGAGGAGGAGGACCCCCTTCCCCTCCAATTTCTGGTGGTGGTGGTGGTGGAAAACAGGCCCATCATCGCACCCCCTCTCCCCACCGCCCCCATGGAGTAGGCCTTGGCTGTGTTTGGCGCCCGTTTTAAGCAGATGTGGTCTCCCCGATGGGACGCGCTGTTGCAAGCAGTCACATATTAAGCAGAGGTCCAGAGCCAGACCCCCCCCCATCCCGCCCCCCTTTCCGCCCAATGTCAAAACGCCAAATATGAAGACGTTCACGAGGGGGTCGGGACGTCAGAGACCCCGATGTGTGCCGGGCCCCCCCCAAACGGTGCGGTGACCACACCGAGTGGTGAGTCGGTGGGGGTTCGGGGTGACCGCGCGGCTTTAGGATTCGGGTCGTTCTACGAGGATGTCTCGGGCGACTGGGGCCTCCTGTGTCACAGAATCTTGCGGTGATTCACCGAGCGGTGAGGTCCTTCGGGGTCTCGAGAGGTCACCGCACGGTGTGTCACCGCGCCGCCTCGGGACCCCCAAGAGTCTGGGGGCACTTTGGCGGACCACTGGATCGATGTGGCCAATGCGCCCATCTGCCAATCGCGCTCTTCCCCACTTGCTTCCCTCCCCCAGTGACTTTGGGGTCGATTCGCCTCGCCCCACTCTGTGCGCCTGGCGCCCGCATGCAGCTCTCGGGCGCCTGCGGAGCGGATCGGCACCGCCTGCCAACCTGCTCTGGTACCACAATGGCTCGAGCAGGGGATCGACTGCAGAATTCACGTACCCCAGAATGGATGTGCTCGTCGAGTGTTCAAAGCAGTATATAGATAGAACGTTCGTAGCTCCTCGGACATGCTACGCACTCGATCTCCTGCGCGAATTGTGGAGGAAAATGTGATGATCATGCTCCTGGATCAGACAGCACTTTTGGCCGCACGCCGCCTGCCTTGGCCATGCGGCTCCACCTGCAGGCTGCGGTCGCGATGGCCCTCGCCGCCCTGGCGGGGTCCACCGACACCTGCCCCGGCGGCGCGGGCGAGGGCGATGAGGCCCAGCTCAGAGGGTGTTGACGCGGCGGGGACGAGAAGACGACGCGAGGATGGGGCCGGCTGGCGGTCTGAGGTGCCCCTGCACGTTCTGCATTAGTTTACGATCCGGGCGAAGGGGTCCGCCCGTTCAGCGGATTTGGCGGCCTCCCATTTGTAAGCTGAGGCACGGTAGGTTCGCGTCGTGTCGACTGGCGGCGATCTCAGCGCGAGCGTTCAAGATTCAACGCCGTTGGGGTCCCAGAATCGGTCGATGTTGAACAGCCTGACATTTCGGAAACGGCCGATCGTTCAAGGTTGATCCCCGCGGTGTCAGGAACCAACGCCGGAGTGGACACGACAAACACTTGCCGTCGGCCAGCTATAACCCGCCCTGGTGTATCCACTGGTATAGCTCCCGTATCCCCTTAGCAGCCCCCGTGCCGCTCCGAGTAGGCCATTTCCACGGGGCCGCGGTGTCCTCCCGAGGCGCCCCGTGGCAGGCCCGGTGGGCCCGGAGGGGGCCCCCAAGGGGGGCCAGGAGCGGCAAGCAAAAGGGTCCCCCCCCCCGCGACGGGCTTTTCTCAACGCGTGCTGGAGGTCCATCGGGGGCGTGCCAGGGAGGGGGAGGACTAGGGGGTGCGTGGGGGGGGGGGCTGTCGTGGCCAGGGCGGTGATATCTCCCCGCGATTCATGGCACTCTCTTTTTCTTCTGCTGCTTCTTGTTCATATTAGTGTTCTCCTTCCTCGGAGTACAATTTGTTTGTGATGAGTATCATGATTCTTGTAGCCTTCTTAAACATATGATTGTACTGTTGTTTGTTCATGTTATGTGTTACTAATGTTCATCATCAGGTTTGCATGTTTGATGATTATTAGTTTCCGCATTCGTACTAGTAGTGCTATTGTTCTTCTTATCCGCATTATTATTACAACTCGTGTCGTTATTACTTTGTGTTCATTATTATTATAAGTATGACTTTTCTCTTTTAACGCGTCCCCTGGTCAGTCGCGGTCCTCGTTCATCTTCTCTGCTCTCTGCCTCGTTGCTCTTGGTCGACCCGCTGCTCGGAGGAGGCGCGCATCTCTTTCCCGAGCCCAGATAACATCGAGCCCCCTGGCCCCTTTTCCCTTGTCCGCGCACACGCCTCCAGCTCTGCATTCGCCTCATTCGCCTTCCCCCCCACATTCCTCCAGGATCCCCTCCTCGGACGCCCCCTCCGCCTCCTCCTCCTCCTCCTCCTCCTCCTCCTCCTCCTCCTCTCTCCACCTCCTCCTCCTCCCTTTTCTCCTCCTCCTCCTCCTCTTCCTCCTCCACTTCCTCCTCCTCCTCCTCCTCCTCGTTCTCGTCCTCCTCCTCCTCCTCCTTCCCCCCCGAGATGCCTTTCGTCTCCCCTTTGGGGCATTGGAGTCGGGCGTGAGGTTACCACTAAAGGGCCCCTTCCCAGGCATTGTCATTGCAGCAGTGTTGCCCGCGTTGGAAAAGGTTGCGTTCGGGGTCGTTGGCCAAAGTTCGAAGAAGAGAAAACGCGATAAACATCCACTTTGGCGCTCCGCGCGGATTTCTTGGATCCGCACTGGGCCCTCCCCCTGGCGGCGCCTCCGGCGCCGCCCCTGGCGCGCCATGTGCGCCAGGGAGGGGGGTCCAGCGCAGATTCAAGAAATCCACGCGGACTGGCAAGAGCTTATTCCCAACCATCATGTGGTGTTAGGTCTTCGTTTTGAAGAGACAGCGCCCCGCGTCTCACTCCTCCTTCCTCCTCCCCTCCTCATCCTCCTCCTGCCTCCTCCCCTCCTCGCTACTGCCCTCCGCGCCAGTCAACCATTTCGGCACAACCTCACATGTTTCGAGGCCCCAGTGGGAGGGTTCGCATGGCACCGCCGCCCCATATCGGCATATCCCGCACACGTTTCGCGGCCCCATAGGGAGCCCCACCGAATGCCTCAGTGGGAGGGTTCGCATTTCACCGCCGCTACGTTTCGGCACACCCTGCACACGCTTGGTGGTTCCATAGGGAGCTCCACCGACTGCCCCAGTGAGAGGGTTCGCATGGCACCGCCGCTCCGTTTCGGTAAACGCCTCACACGTTTCGTGGCCCCAAAGGGAGCTCCACCGAAGGCCCCAGTGGGAGGGTTCGCATGGCACCGCCGCCCCATTTCGGAAGACCCCTCACACGCTTCGTGGCCCCATAGCGAGCCCCGCCTACGGCCCCGGTGGCAAGGTTCGCATGGCACCGTCGCCTCATTTCGGCACACCCCTCACACGCTTCATGGCCCCACAGGAAGCTCCAACGTGGGCCTCAGTGTGAGGGTTCGCGTGGCACCGCCGCTACGTTTCGGCACACCCTGCACACGCTTGGTGGTTCCATAGGGAGCTCCACCGACTGCCCCAGTGAGAGGGTTCGCATGGCACCGCCGCTCCGTTTCCGTAAACGCCTCACACGTTTCGTGGCCCCAAAGGGAGCTCCACCGAAGGCCCCAGTGGGAGGGTTCGCATGGCACCGCCGCCCCATTTCGGAAGACCCCTCACACGCTTCGTGGCCCCATAGCGAGCCCCGCCTACGGCCCCGGTGGCAAGGTTCGCATGGCACCGCCGCTCCGTTTCTGGACAGCCCGTACACTTTTTGTGGCCACCGAAGGCCCCGGTGGCAAGGTTCGCGTGGCACCGTCGCCTCATTTCGGCACACCCCTCACACGTTTCGTGGCTCCATAGGGAGCTCCATCGAAGGCCCCAGTGGGAGGGTTCGCATGGCACCGCCGCTCCCTTTCGGTTCACGCCCCACACGGTCCGTGGCCCCAATGGGAGCTCCACCGAAGGCCCCAGTGGCAGGGTTCGCATGGCGCTGCCCCATGTCGGCACACCCCTCACACGCTTCGTGGCCCCATCGGGTCCTCCACCGAAGGCCTCAGTGGGAGGGTTCGCATGGCACCGCCGCCCTATTTCGGCACACCCTTCGCCCGCATGGCGGCCCCGCCTTATCTCGCCACACTCGTCACACGGTTCGTGGCCATGACGGTATTCACAATTGCATATGGTTGGGTCCTTCGCCAGGATAATAGTTATGCCGTTTTTTAGTCCTCTATCGTTGGCCAAAAGTAGTTCCCGTGAAAAGAGTCTCCGGTAGTCGAAACATTAAATTTCTGTCTAGCCATGACCTTTGAAGGTCGGCGAGGATTTCTTGGATCGGCGCCGGAGGCGCCGCCAGTGCAGGCACAGCGCCGAGCCAAGACGTCCGCGCGGAGCGCCGCAAGTTTATGTGCATGTTATGTTGGTCGTCCTTATGGTGAGAGGGGCGCCCCGAGATGCGACGGCGCGAAACCATGGGACATCGCGAGAGATCCCTGCCCGAGCCCCAGACCCCATCCTTCTTCGGGAGGGGAAACACACACAGACACACGGAATCGCCGATCCCCAGGAAGACATGGGAGAAAATGTGTGGGCAGTGGGGGGAAGGCGAACGCCCAGAATCTGTGGGAACATCGGGGGGATCCTGGGATTTGTGTCTGCGCATGCGCGCGCCCCTCTCGCGGGCCGTGCCGTGCGGGTCCTCCCGCGGCCCGAGGCCGGGCGAGGCACACCCGGCCTCCCGAGGAGACGCCAGGATCTCGGGGTCCGTGGAGTCCCGTTTCGGGGGCAACGACGGGGGGGCAGGGCCCGTTTCGATTCCTCCGATTCGATTCGATTCGATCTGGGATTCCGATTTGAGCTCCGATGTCTTGTTGGAGGCACACTAGCCTGCCGATTTCTGCCGATCCGACTTTTCCCGACTCAGCTGCCGATTTCCGACGATCCGATTCATGTCGATCTCCGATCCGACTTGTCGATCCGATCCTGGGCTCTCCTGGGGGGGATGCAGCCAAGACGCGGAAATAAGGAACAGTTTGGATTCGGAAGGGGCTCGATGTTCCTTACGTCCTTCCGTGGTTGTTCCTCTAGCCCTTCTCGTGCACCCAGGCTTTTTTGAAGCCACAGAGTGGCTTCGTTCCTTATTTAGAGTCTTGGGGGCAACGATGGGGGAGGGTAGGCTTAAGTCGGGCCTGTCCCTCTACAGGAGGAATGTGCAATAGGAGTCCAACAATAGTCTGGGGACGATTTGTTTAGCATTGTTTGACTATTTGGGGGCATTATTTGGCTATGTTTTATTTGTCGTCCAAAATCCCCCTGTAGGGGGACACGCCCGACTTAAGGGTAGGCCTATGCTGTTCCAACCTGCTCTAGACGTGACCACCAGAAAGAATTTCGAGCACCAAGACAGTACCGAAACCAGAGGGCTGTCGCGTGTCGGGCCTTGGGAGGCGATGTTCGTTCAACGCTGTTTCGACACTTTTCTGGGTGCTCGAGATTATTTGTGGGATGTGGCCCTTAAGTGCGATGGGAGCAACATGACATAACGGGGGAATGCATCGACCCCAAATCCCCCATTGATTGCCGATAAGGGGCCCGATAGCCCCAATCTGCCCAGGAAGATGCGGATTCGGAGGCCTATCGCCGATCTGTCGGCGATGTATCGCCGATTCCAGATCGATGCATCCACCCCTATGCCAGTCCCCTCCTATCGTTGCCCCTCACCGTTCGAGGGGCGCCGAGTGCCTCTTTGTTTCCCTTCCGCGCGGGGCTCCGAAAAATGATGTGTCAATGTTGTTTTTGTTTTCTTCTGGTCAGAGGGACGGGTATTTGAGATGCCGACGGGCATGTAAATGGTCAGTGACGGGTACTACAAATGCTTCGCATTTCAGTTTTCGATCGTTCCCCTGGCTTGCTACTCAGTGAATCCAGCATGGGAGCACACGACTAACAAACGGATTATAGTGCTCCCACGGTGGAGGGGGGCGCATTTGCTTTATTGGTCTTCCATTGCGAACATGGTGCGACGCGGAAGCTGGCCACCCTGGCGCCTTTCGAGTTGGGAGTCGCGGATGGATTCATCAGTGCATGAACAGAAGAAAGAGGGACGCACCCAGTTCATGCATCGAGTTACCGCGTGGACGTACCCATGCGCGCTGACGAACCGAGTTGACGCACCGAGTTGATGTGCCGATCGTCGTCGACGTGGCGGGTCTCTCAAGAGTCAAGAGCTGCCACTCCTTACTCCCAAGGTGTCGCCTTTCCTCGTTCCTTCGGCGTCGTGATGCCTCCGTGTCTCTGGAAGCAAACAAAGACGCAATCATCAACTCCTGGAGCTCCGCGCGGATTGCTCGGATCGGCGCCATTGGTCCGTCCTCATAGTCGTGGTGCCTCGGAGGTCTCGCCCCATTCCCCGGGGGTCTGTTCCTCATCCCGAGGCGCTCTCTGACGGCCCCGGGGCTCGGCGAGGGCTCCCAGAGGCCGGCGGTGCAGGAGGAACCTGGCGCGACCCCAACTAGGGGGAATGCCCCTTTGCTGCGCGACACGGGCGCAGTGCTTGGCATTGCCGGGGATGGCCCGAGGCACCCCGAGGAAGCTCCAAGGAGGCTCCGAGGAGCGGGCGACGTGCCCCCCCCCCCCCCCCCCCCGAGGCACCAGTCGTCCTTAACCGAGCAAGAACCCTTCAGGGAAGCCGAGCTGGGGAACAACCTCTCATCGCGATTCCTCCTCCTCCTCCTCCTCCTCTTCCCTCCTCCCTCCTCCCTCCTCCATCCTCCCTCCTCCCTCCTCCCTCCTCCTCCTCCTCTTTCTCTTTCCTCCTCCTCCTCGTTCCTCCTCCCTCCTTCCTCCTCCCTCCTCCCTCCTCCTCCTCCTTCTGCGAGGCCTCGGCCCTGCTCCAGCCCGCCGCCGCCCGCGCGGCGCGGCGGGCGCCCGCGTGGCTGCGGCAGGAGCGGCCTCTCTCGCGCGCGCGGGCGGAGAGGAAACCCCCGGGCGGCGATCCAACAAATCTTTGCGAATACAGATTTCGTCTGCCCCCTCCTCCTCCTCCTCCTCCTCCATCCCTCCTCCTCCTCCTCCTCCTCCTCCTCCTCCTCCTCCCTCCTCCTCCTCTTCCCTCCTCTCCTCCCTCATCTCCTCCTCCTCCTCCTCCTCCTCCTCCTCCTCCTCCTCCTCCTCAGCTGCAGCACCGGTTTTAAAAACAAGCAGAAGTCGTTTTTAGCACCCACAGCCCCACCACATCCTGAGACAGAACGAACATGGCGTTCCTCGGGCCGAAGGCGGCTTAGGGGCAAGCAGGAGCACAGGAAGGGGGGAGGCGAGCACGGCGCAGCCAGGATGGTGCTCAAAATAGTCTACTACAACGCGGAGGGTGCGGACTTCACCCGCCTGGAGGAGATCAGCATGCAGTGCCGGAGCGTGGACGTCGTGGTCGTCACGAGCACGCAGAGGCACACCGACGCAGAGCATGCCATGCAGCAGGCAACGCTGCCGCGTCACAGAGTTATCCAGTTTGGATGGGAACTTTCCAAGTACGGCACCAAGAGTGTTGGCATCGCAGTTTGGCAAGGCCAGTACGTACATGGAGCGCAGCAGGCAGCAGCACCACCGAGGTCACACGGCATCACGGGCAAGGTCGTCAAAGTTAAGTCTGTTGTGCACGGGCAGTCGATATGTTTCCTCCCAGTGTACTTCCCCCCATAGGGCACAAGTCCCCCGATCCTGAAGGAGGCCAGCGCCCGCATCTTGCAGTGGATAGGCAAGCAGATCGAGAAAGACGGTCGTGGCACATTACGGATAATTGCGGGTGATTTCGATTGTGGATTCGGCATGCGAACAGACAGCAGGAGTATGTTACACAAGAGAAGACGAGCACGTCGGCATCACAGAGACGACGCACGAAAGCAACGTTTCAGAGCAGCTGCGCACGTTCGCAGAAGAGCAGCACATGAGTATCGCATCGACATTCTGGCGCACAGGATTAACGTATTTTTTCGAAGAGGTGCTACATCGAATATTGACCACATCATGTGCCCTACTACGTTGATGGGGAGCATACAGAAGTTGAACACGCTAATCAGATACAGCAGTGTGCAACCCTTGAGGACCACGTCTCAGTGCACGTGGAGATGAACGTCGCGACGAAGATATACCAAGTGGCAAACCCGTCACCGCCAGCCAATCGTGACGTGTTGATGGCAGCATTGACGACGGGACTTCGCATAGAACAATACTTCGAGGAAGCATATAAGATACGAGAAGGCGACGCAGCATACCAGACAGCCATGCAGAGCAACAGCGTCCAAGCAAGCAGTTTGGGACCACATCGGCGGAGCTTCGCGAGATGGGCTGAAGGAGGTGTTCCCCCCTGGACCACGGCGGACAGCAGAGTGCGACAGGCAGAGAGAACGGCGCATGGAATTACTTCGGCTCCGAGCACGGTTGCGAGAAGAGGGGAGGGCATCCACGGCAGAGTGCGACGAGATCAATCAGGAGCTCACAGCGCTCACTGGACGCTTGAAGACATTACGGCGACAACAGACAGCACCGAACAGGCGAAGCTTACTCGAGGAGCTCGTCGGCGTCTGGCAGCAGAAGAAGTGGGCACAGACGCACAAGATCAAGAACGCGGGCCAACACATATACACATTCGCAGCCAGACAAGGCACGAATATTGGCGAGCGAAAGACACGTCAACAGCGCGAACCACGCGCAGAAGGGATGAACGCGGAGGTCGTGAATTGGGAGCAGGCAGTGGGGGGCGCGGAGCTGTCGCCGGAAATTCTGGAACGGGACGGGGCCAACGCATTAGCCAGAGCCGACCTGGAAGGACAGATGCGCCACCTCAAGAAAGCGCCGAAAAAGGAAGGCCACACCTCACTGCACATGGAAGCATTGTTACAGCTGCTGTCCCCACAGTATCACAGCCAGGAGGACCCGAACGGAAACGAATGAGAGGTGGATGCCCCGCCAGCTGGGTTCCTGCACAAGTATCAGCTAGTGGCATGAATCAGGCAGGCGCAGATGGTTTCCCTAATTCCTGAGATCACAGATGTTCAGAGCCCCGAATCATCAGGGGTAACTCGGGTCAGGGATAACTCGGGTTCGTTCTTCGGGAATCCAAACCCGAGTTGCCCCGGGCCCGAGTTACCCCGGATAATTTGGGCGCCCAGAGCCCCGAATCATCAGGGGTAACTCGGGTCAGGGATAACTCGGGCACCTTCTTCGGGAATCCAAGCCCGAGTTACCCCGGGCCCGACTTACCCCGGATAACTTGGGCGCCCAAGATGTTCGCGCAGGCAAAGGACAAGGGAGGGCCAGGCATCAAGGGTGAACGACTTCTGCATTGCTTCGGCCTCTGCAGCATGAGTTGGTTTGGACAACTGGCGACACGAATCAAACCGCAGCCCGCGTTCGAATCGTTAGCGCGCGGAGGGGTCCCAGTTCGACGGAGAGAATGGATTTTGCTTGTGCTTCGTTCGGCGACATGGAGGTGTAGAGAGTTGAAACTGAGCCACTCGTTGAGAAACTATGACGGGCCAAATGCATTTGCCAGCGCGGAGTGGGGGGATCTGCGACGGCTACACAGTCAGTAGCAGCATCCGCACACTGTAGAGTTATCAGAACAAGCGATAGACCGACTAGTAGTGCACGCAGAAGTGATTGACGGTTGCATGGACATGAAACCTACAATCGGAACAGCGATGGGACATGCCATGGTTGCAGGAGGTTTTGCATTTGCATACACACCGCAAGCGAGCATATGGAACATGCAGCTAGCAGCACAAGGTCACACATATACTTGGTTGCGTTGCAAGAGCACGCTGAAGGGCGATGACTCGGCGGACGAGGGCGGCCGGGAGGAGGACTTGGGCATCGGGTTGTGAGTAGACGACGCATCGAGAGCACACGCGCATGCATGCGGCGCGTCATCACATGTCATGGAACTGCAGCTTAACCAAGCCACAAGCAAGTTGAGCACGTGCATAGGGGAGACGGCGCGCAAGCTAAACGAAGGCAAAACAAATCACATCACGCGCGTTATCGGGAACGGATCGTTTGCAACAGTTGTTTTTACACATTTTTTCGAAACACAAAACTTTGCGGCGCCCCAATCAGTTGCAGGAGCAATTGCGGGAGAGGCGCGTGCTCCAGGACCCATTCTCGCGTTCGGCGCCGGCCTTCGAGCCGAATTTCGAGGGCGAATTAAAGCGGCAAGTGCTGGGTGGGGATCCTCGGGGAAGCTTTGGCCAGTGCCGACTCCAGCGCGCCTGCGGGAGCTTTTGTTCATTGCCCGCGCGAAGAGTGCGGGGCCGTCGGGGCTGACGGCCTGTCTTGCCACGCAGCTTTGCAGACAAAGCTCGGCGTGGCGCTTATCATATTCCGACAAGTGCTCAGCCGCGGCGCGACAGCGGAGTTTGGGAAAACAGAGGAGCGGGGCACACGTGCAGGTAGTAGGGCAGCACGACATCCCAATCGCCGCGGTCGAGCTGAGGATCCAACGTGCCCGATGGCATCAGAAGATGCACCTGGGCCACAGCAGCACTCACAGGTCTTGGCAGGGATCTTTGGCAGCACGCGCCTCCCTCTCACTCCTCTCCCTCGCTCGCCGCCGAGTGGGGGCGCGGCGTGCCTTCCCAGACCTCGGACGTCATTTTTTCCACGACATCGACCCCCGGAGGTCTCGACTCATTCCCCGGGGCCGGTTTCTCATCCCGAGTCGCGTTTGGACGGCCCCGAGGCCCAGGAAAGGCCCCCAGAGGAGGAGGAGGAGAAGGAGGAGAAAAAATATAAGAAACAACAAAAAGAAAAGAAGAAGGAGGAGGAGGAGGCGAAGGCGGAGGAGGAGGAGGAGGAGGTCCGTAGCCAGTTTGGCTCAAGTCCGGAGCCGTTTTGGCACAGGACCTGACCATACTGGCAAGGGGGAGCAGCGGCCCCCACAGTGCCCCTCGTTTGCCTGGTCAGACGAGGATTTCTGGCGAGTTTTGCGAGCTCCTGTTGGAGCATTCCCTTCGGCATCACGTCCCGATGGTGCCTGCCCCTTTCCCGCATGCGCCCTGGGTCAAGCCGCGGGTTGATGGCGAGGGATGGTCTATTGCGAGAGGTCGCCGTGGCCAGGCCCAAGTCTCGAGCTTCGCCTGCCCATCCTGCGGTTGCAAGAAGAGCAGCGCCAATGCCTCGCATTGCAAGCGCTGTGCTCACCCTCTCCCTCGTCTGCTTCATGGTGATGGGCCACCAGCTGGGGGTCGCTGGGCCACAGATGGCCCCCCTGGCTTCTGGCACAGGAACGGCTTCAGCGGCAAGGGGCCCGTCTTTCAGAACTTCGGGGGCAAAGGGGGAGGCCGTGGGCCCAGTAGCAAAGGCAGAGGCAAGGGCTACTTCGGAGGCGACCAGACGATGTGGGATGTGCTGGCCCGTCAAGGAGATGAGCGTGCTGGCGGAGCAGCAGGAGGCCCTCCTCCTCTACCTGTGGGACCAGTGCCTGCCATCACTGCGTCCGAGGCCAAGGCCTTGGGCGAATCGCTCCAGAAGGCGGGAGATGTTGGAGCGGCTGCCAAGTACCTTGACATGGCGAAGCATCTGGAAGCGGCAGCAAAGCCCGTGGTTGTCTCGGACCACGCGCGTACGCAGCAGGCTCACTCCATGGCGCGCAAGCTGGAGAAGCAAATGGAGCAGCAGCTGGGCCGTGCCACGCGGCATCGGGAACAGCTCGTCGAAGCGGAAGGTTCGCTACGTTCGCTTCGCGTTCATCTCGGCCAGGCGGATTTGGACTACAAGCAGACGCTTGCGGCCCTGCAAGGGCCCCCTCAGCCCACAGGGGAGCGGACCCAGTCGATTTCTTTCAAGCTCGAGGATTTGGTGGCAGGCGATGTGGATTTTGCCAAGATCATCGACTGCAGCCACATGCTGGAGGATCTCACGGCGGACAATGATGTGGACGTGGCCGACC